ATACAACTCAGCAATTTAAAACTTATGATTATACATTGTTGAATATAATTTAACATATTAATGATATAATTTATAGTCAGATATTTGAATCCAGGTCTATAACTTAAAACATTAGTGGTAAAAACTGTCTAATCTACAATTATAATAAATGAGTAAATAAATGTCAGGTCAAGTGCGGTTTATTGATACAAGCATATATTTTTATATATTTTATTTATTTATTCATTTATCCGACACCCTGATGTGTCTATCACATCTTCCAGAAGGGTAATGGAGAAGATTATTCATGACTTCTATTCAGATCTCTTTAATAGCCACGTCCACTTGCCCACATACCACATTCCGTATGATGGATATATCATTCCCAATGTTCTCCCTTCTGAAATTCAACACGCCATCTTGTCGGTAAAGAAACAAAGAGCACCTGGCCCAGACAAGATCAGACCTGAACACCTGAAGAACTTACTATCAGTACTCATCAATACACTGGCTCGGCTCTTCACACGCTACCTGGCTGAATGCAAGCTTCCATCCCAATGGAAAACCAGCAAGACTGTACTACTATACAAGAAGGGAGATATCCACGACATTGGCAACTATCGCCCAATCTGCCTATTGTCTGTCATCTACAAACTGTTAACTCGAGTCATCCTGAATAGGATTGGCAGAACACTAGATGAAGGACAACCATGTGAACAAGCCGGATTCTGAAAAGGATTCAGTACCATCGACCATATCCACACGATAACTAAGCTCATTGAGGTTTCTCAGGAGTTCAAGATGCCACTCTGTCTAACGTTCATTGATTTAAAGAAGGCCTTTGATTCTGTTGAGATGGGAGCGGTCACAGAAGCCCCAGCAAATCAGGGCATACAAACTCAATACATCAGGATCCTCCGTGAGCTCTATTACGGATTCACTACCAGGATCTCACCATTCTACAAAGAAGTAATCATCCATGTCAAGAGAGGGGTTTGGCAGGGTGATACCATTTCACCAAAACTCTTCAGTGCCACCCTCGAGAACATCACGCGATGACTGGAATGGGAAGAAATGGGAGTGAAGATAGATAGTCGGCAACTACACCACCTCCGCTTTGCTGATGACATCATTCTAATAACGCCAAATATCAGCCAAGCGGCACAAATGCTGACCAACTTCGACCATGAGTGTGGAAAGGTCAGATTACAACTGAATCTCAAAAAGACAATGTTCATGAGAAACAGTCTTGTTCCTGATGCTCCATTCACTCTCAACGGAACCACCATCTCCGAATGCAACAGATGTATATATATACCTAGGTCGAGAAATCAACATGACAAATGACCTGGCACCCGAGCTGTGTAGGAGGAAGAGAGCGGCTTGGAATGCCTTCAAGAGTGTTGAAGAAATAACTAAGAGGACAAAGAACCTCCAGCTACGAGCACATCTCTTCGATTCCACTGTTCTTCCTGCATTAACATATGTCTCAGAGACCTGGGCCCTACGAAAACAGGATGAGAATGCTATTTGGGTCTCTCAAAGAGGAACTGAAATAGCTATGATTGGAGTATCACGCTTCACTCAAATGAGAGATAGAATCCGGAGTTCCAATCTCTGTCAACGCTCAAGAATCAGGGACGCTGTCTCATTTACCACGACATCAAAAAAAAGATGGGCTGGACATGTAATGAGGTTTACAGACAACCGCTGTACTAGAGCCATTACTGATTGGATTCCACGGGACGTCAAAAGATCATGTGGACGCCCACCTATAAGATGGTCAGACTTCTTTGTCAAGAACCTGAACAATCGGTTTGAGGCTCTGCATGTTCCTAGAACAAACAGATGCCATTGGGTTACGCTAGCATGCAACAGGGATGAATGGAGACGTTACTGGCACCCGCTCGAGTAAATTGATGAATAACGGGGTATCAGGTGATCATGTGATTTATTTATTTATTTTTTAAAGTTTTATTTATTGAATCACCGTGAGAACAGTCACAAATCCTTTTAGTTTAAGTCTCGGTCAATCATACAATGATCAGGCACCCGTTCCTTCACCAGTGCACATTTTCCACCACCAAGAACCCCAGTATACCCCCCTTCCCCACCACCCCCCAGCCTGTGTGGCAGATTTCCACTTTACTCTCTCTCTCTCTACGTTGATCACATTCAATATTACAACAAAAGACCCAATATTATTATTTGGAATTTTCCCCAACATTCAGACCTGCCAAAAAGACATCATTAGATAATTTGTTTTCTATTGCTGATTATGAAGAGCATATGATGTCATGTGGCCGCAATAGTGGCCACGTGATTTTGGATTTCTGATATTTTAGCAATAAGCCCAGAGGGGTTAATGTCAAAAGCCCCTGGGTTCTGAGACTGGTTTGTATGCCTCTGGGATCATGATCGTTCAGGAGCTGGAGTAAGCATTTGTGGATGGCAACCAGGGGCCTTGTCAGGGCGGGGAGCAGGGCCAATTCCACCCCCCATCCCACAAGGCACCACGTGCCTCCTCAATGCAGTCTCATACCTGGTTGTCCATTAGGCTCTAAAAGATGGAGGCCACCATTCTGCTGCCCCAAAGGGGAACAGGTGGAGGGACAAACACCCTTCCCATCCCAGGGTGGCATAGCACCATAGTTAAATGCACAATCCAGATGCATTTTGGTTGGTATTGTATTTTGCTCTGATTTTCCCACAACCATTCAAGCCTGCCTTCCAGGGACAGACGCTAGCTCATTTACTTTCCATTGCTCACTTTGCATATTAGGAAATGTCGTGCAGCAGTGTAAGCGGCTATGCGGTCTGTAAGAACAGTCCTGGTGCCCGCATAGAGCCATGCTGATACAAGTATATTCTTAAGTGATTTATTGACTTGTGTTATTAGGTTTCTTTAATAATGATATGCCAAGATACAAAGATTTTGAAAATTAAAAAAAATCAAGTTCTTTAAGTTACTTAATACTTTATTTATACCAGTAACTAAAATTTTTCAGTTTTTAGTTTTTACTTCAGGCCCCAAAGTAAAGGTTGAAGATAAATGTATGCTTTCAGATTTAAAATTCTAAGGCTGAGTTGAGGATTTTATGAAAACATATATATAAAGGGGGCACTTTCTCAGTTTGTAAACTTTGGAAATATGAGTACCTGGAGATATTTGATTTTTTTGGTTTGGTTTTAAATAGTAGTGTTCCAAATGTGTTTGCAGAAAAGAGGGAAACAAGCCTATAGAAAGAGGAGAGTTTGAGAAAAGGGTAAATTGAAAAAACAAAGTCTCAAGGGAAGTGGGGATGGAACCAAGATGTTTGATACAGGAAATAAAGGTCTCCAGGGAGTAAGAGGATTGACTGAAGAGATAAACTGGTACAGAATAAAGCCAGATGTTCAAAAGCAAATGTTATCATCTACCTACAGTAACAAACCCCTGCCCCTGTTCAAACTCCTTGATTAGAAAGTAGCGGTCAGATTTTCCAATAATTTCCATCACTGCTCCCCACATACTACATTCTTCTTATGTGTGCTTTTGCTCTTATGGGAATCCTCCAAAGGAAAAGTAGGTTTACATTGTACTTGATTTTCCAATATCAAGCTTATTACTTTATTAGGTATGCATAGGAGGGAAGTTGCAGGTATGCACATAAAGGAATCTAAGTTGCTTTGACTTTCTATCCTAGAGTTCATTGCATTGGCTGCTGTTTGCCATAAATGAGCCAGACTTTTTAATATGATATGTGTAGCACTGCACTGTAGCACTGTCCTCCCGTTGTTCATCGATTTGCTCCAGTGGGCCAGTACTGTCTCCATTGTGAGACTTGTTACTGTGTTTAGCATATCGAATACACTGCGGGTAGCTTGCCTGGCTTTGCTGTACAGGTGAGATACTCCTGGTAGCTTGCCAGGTTCTCCGAGAGGGGAGGAGGAATCGAACCTGGGTCGTCTGGGTCGGCTGAGTGCAAGGCAAATGCCCTACCCACTGGGCTATCACTCTAGCCCTATGATATGTGTAGAAGATATTAAATACTGCACATATTAAATACTGCACCTTTTCTTTTCTAAGTTATTTTCTCAGTGTTTTAAAGATCTGAAAACACATAGAAATGGTATTACTGCCTGTGAATTTTGTTTTTTATATAACAGAAGTTCAGTATTATAAGCTTTTAAGTGTCTTGACAGTATAGGCATCTGTGGAAAGCATCAGGACTATGTAGAAAAGTTGCAAAAGCCTGGGCACATCCATGATGGAGACTTGTAGTTGTAAAATCACCTTTGTAATCCCAAATGCTAATTTCATCATCTAGCATTACCGACACAGGAAGTCCTATTTTTTTAAAGAGCATGTTTGATAGAGAACTTTGTGTCTTTCAGCTGGATCAGAAATAAATTGAGGAGCTGGAGCAACAGCACAGCGGGTAGGGCGTTTGCCTTGCACACAGCCAAACCAGTTTTGATTCCCAGCATCCCATATGGTCCCCTGAACACTGCGAGGGGTAATTCCTGAGAGCAGAGCTAGGAGTAACCCCTGTGCATTGCCAGGTGTGACACAAAAAGCCAAAAAAAAAAAAGAAATCAATAACCCAAATTGTGGTGACTTTAAATGATAAACTTTTATTCTGAATATACTGTTTTTGCACAAGATTTAACACAACATTTTCTGGGATTATAAATATTTTTATAACAGTATTATACAAATTTTTACAAAATTTTTTTAAGTCAGGCTAGTTAATTTCCACAAAAGTGTCAAGAGAACAAAATAAAGGGGAGAAAGCTGTTGATCACAAAGCCACTTGGCCTTTTGCATGGATGCACACTGAGCATTTCAATAAAAATACCCCTAAAAGCATGATCCAACAATCATACAATGTAACAAAAAGGACAGCTTAGTTAGGTCACACTGTAAACGCAATTGGTTTCTCTACAAGACAGTATCCCATTAGTCTCAGTAGGATTTTTGGAGTTAATCATATGAACCAAAAATTTCAATGAAACTGTTGGTAAGGGTTGTCTACCTGTTTAAAATCTGAACATTTTTACTCATACTTTTGTTCATTTATTCTTTACAGAAATTTACACTAAGTATTAGCAATATTAATATTCTGCTAAGGGTAAACATTATAAGTTCCACATAATAATATTTGAAATTGTAGGTGGGTGAAATAGCCTATTCTATAAAGTCACAGCATCCATTTTGTTTCAATAGGTTAATTTCCATACCTCTACATTTTAAAGTCAGCTAACATGACTAACATGATCAATGGAATAGTTTGAGTTTTAAATTAAGACGTAGAAATTTAAGCTTTGGTGAAGACAAAGATTTAATTGACATGTAAAATACACAAGAGCATCAAATAAGCAAGTAACACTTGGGTTGCAAAGGTCACTTAAAAGGGATACTGCCTATTTGAACCCAGTAAGGCCAGTTTTTAAGTTAATATAAGGAATAGTATAGGAAAACTTACAAATGGCAGCAACACTGTTTTGTTTTTTCGAAGTTAAGCAATAATGCCTCAAGCATTAGAAACATGAAAAAAGGTCATACTAAAATATTATAGGCCCAGGACCTAAAAATCACTTCAATCAAACGTGCTATGTCATGTTAAAAACCTGTTACAAATATGGACCACGACTGGTGTTTGGCAGTAATGCTGGTTGTTCAAATGAAGAAAACACAAAGAAATTATTAATGAATAAAGCATTCCTGTTACTCAACACCAATGCAAGACATACTGATTTTGTTTTAGTGGAAGACTACATTATAAGCAGTTGTGAGTATAACAAAACTTAAGTAGGATCTCTTACATTGTTTAGTTTTGGGAAATATGTATATATAATGTATATACGTGCGTATTTACACACGTATATATATCAGGTTATAATTTAAGTTCTTGTAACAATTAAAAATTCATAGAAGAATCCAAAAGTAAATAAAACAATTCATTGGGATGAGTGTTACTCTTTTCTTTAAAAACATATGTAAAGCATGAAGAATAGTATTAATTAGTCATGAGAAGAGTTTTTGGTCAGAGTGTGCATTCTTGCCCAATTTATTACGATGTTTATGTTTGTCATAATATGTTTATTACAGAAAATTAGATCACAGTAAGACTTAAGCATTTAAATATATTTTGATGGCAAATGAAATCAAGTAAGATGTCAAAAGATGCCAAGGTTAACTGTAATTAATACAATAACAATGTAGTTTATGAAAATGTAGTATTTAAGAGACATTAGCCATGAAAATATATCTAATAAATATTAAACATAATTTAAGGTAGTTTGTTGTATGCTGAAAGCAAAACAATCATTTTAATGTGCATCATATATACATGAATTAATAATTTAATGTTTTGATTTCCCCTTCCCAACACTTTCATGATTTGAAAGTCTAGCAAAAGTTAACAATAAGTTTTAAGTATTTAATTAACAAACGACATGATTTAAACATATCATTACTAGAGTGAGAAGTTTCATATTTTTTAAAATCACTTTGGTGTTTTCTAAAATGTCAGTACAGGTTACAAATGAGACTACAAAATCACAACAATGCATTAGAAATGGTAACTGATGGTCTAAGAGTTGACAATAGTTGGCAAAGTGATTCTGCTCCCTTCTCCCCTTTTTTAAAATAAAAAAAAATCTTAAATAAGGAAATGTACACAAATGGTACCTAGGGTATATTGTTGGTGGAAGGGAATTACAAATGTATGCAAAGCTAAAAACAAAACAAATATATCTTTAAATTATGCTACAGAATTGGTTATATCTTTGATATGTGAGGCATATTAAAGCATGCTGGATTATGTTAGTAAGATATGAACTTAAAATGATATATTAAGAAAGTTTCCAGCATATACACATACCAATATTTGGCATGTTCAAAAAGAAATACATTTTACCATAAAAATATCTGCAAACTTCCCTTTCAGCAGAATTACTCACTATATTAGTTACACATTCATTGTTTTCACCCATTTTCAATACTATTTACTCTTCAAAATAATTTTTAAAGCATAAATAATATTTTGCTATTATATTAATCTTTAATGAAATAGCTGATTTACTACACTAATCATTTCCACCAATGAGTTTGTATAAAAACAATTTTGATTATTCACAATCAAGTATTTATGTGCATACACATAGATTCAAGGTTTCCTATTTGTTCAGATTTTTGTAAAACTTTCATCAAACTGCATGGAAATTTTGGTTAAGGATTATAACTTTTAAATAGACAAAAGCAGCAGCAGTAGCAGTGGAAATTTTTGGAGTGTACATGCTACTATTCAAATGAACAAAGAGGAAACCTAGCATGGATCTTCATTGGGAACATTTATGTACTTTTTAAAAAATAAATGTGTCAAATCTGATTTATGTACTTAAAATATCTGTACATAGGTTTCAGGCAAAAGCATGAATCTGTATAAAATCCATTAATTCCCATTTCACCATTTACTTAACCCAGTCATTCAGCATTTACATTGCACAGTATATTCAGAGTAGTTTAACAACATTTTTAAAAGATGACTTAAGTGCATTACACTGCAAGATTCATATTCTTACGTAACAATAATGTCACTCAGTTAACTTTTCAATAGACTATACTCTACAGTAAGAGAAAAACAAACCAAAAATTTAAAATAGCAGCAGCATCATGCAAAATATCCTTTGTAACCAAAGTTCATTGATCACAAGAAAAAACATTGCCCCTCCCCCCTGACAAGCTTTTCTTAGAGCATCTTGAAATATCTGGCCAGCACTACAGTAACTTTATCATGAACAAAAGGAACATTACATCAAAGCATTTAAGGGCTTACATTGATGCGGAAATATAGTCAGTATATTCTTGTATTCAAATTTTACCCTCCAGCACCTTAGGCTAATAACTTCTTAGTTATTATTTCCAAATATCCAATAAATTACTCCTTTAAATTTAATTGGCCATAATTTGTGTTACTTTATTTTTGATTTTTTTGGCAAAGAAGCCATTCTTTTATAAGGCATTTATTTATGGCAATTTTTAGGTTAAAAATCAGCCATATATATTTCAATAACTATACCATTAATTCTCTTTAATTCTTTTCTCCTTTCTTTCTCCATAGATAATAACTATCCAAAGCAGGAAATACTTTTATCAGAAAAATAAGTAAAGGTAAAATGAACTGTTTCTCCCTTAGGGATTTTCTTCATTAAAAAAAAAAATCTAAACGGATTGCAGTAAGTTAAAAATCCAGATCAGAATCAAGACAATTTGTGTGATTCTTAAACAATTGTGTGGGGAGCCCTTATACATGTAATCACCAACATAGCAACAACAAACTCTCAATTTTCCCAATAGAGCACATATAGAAAGTTTGCTTTGATGTTTTACGAAGATGATGCAGCATTCACACAACATTTAGGATTTCACACCCTGACATGCAGCCAGTGGGTGCTTTAGAGTCTGTGTTGTAGATTTATGCCATAGTATGGGCCCAGTGTTCAGCTGATTCCAGGACTGACCTTGTTAAAATGCAGTTGAGGGCTCATATTTTGGCAGGGTCTGGAGTTTAATTATGCAGATTTGGTTTTAAAAGGTCATAACTGGTAGTGTCTACTGCCAGATAAAAGCCAAAGTAGTAAAAATTGTATTCCAATGATAGACCACAGGGAGGGATTTAATCCAGAAACACCACCACAGTCAGTGTAATCCTCCTGAAAGAAAAGAAACATAAGAAATATCTTGAAATATATTTCATAAGACATCTTTCTAAGCAACAGAGTTTAGTCCACTTGGGAACTCACCTTATAATTTAGCTTTATTTGAATCCAAATAAAGTATTTCCTAGATTATATTATTCATCAATTTTGGAAAAAGTGTAATTCTCCTAACACTATTTGTGGTGTTAGGTAAATATTTTTATAGATTCTAGTATGTATGAAAAATATGACAATACTATTTTGAAAAATATTTCCTAAATGTACTTTCAGAGTATCAAATATTACAGATTAATATTATCCAAGCCTGCTCAGATTGGGGCTGAGCATCCTCCACTCAGGTCCTCCATCTTCCAGTAGGCAGGGGTCACCAACTGACCCCCTGGTGCCGTGTAATCCCATCAACAGCCAAGACCCAGAGACTATAAAACCCAGCTCCCAGAAGCTTATTAATGACATCTTATTATCTCATTCTTACTTGGGACAATCTGGCAGGCTACCGAATGTAACCTGCCCACATGGCAGAATCTGGCAAACTCCCTGTGGCATGCCCAATATGCCAAATATCAGTAACAATGATGGGTCTCATTCTCCTAACCCTGAAAGAGCCTTGAATATGGCGCTTTAAAATCTCATGGCTAGGACAAAGGAGACGTTACTGGTGCCTGCCCGAGGCAATTGACGAACAACAGGGTGATTGTGATCGTGAATGAATGCAAAAAATAAAAATATTTATGGTATATAATTTTCAGGAATTGAAATTTTAACAATTATGCTCTATAAGGAAAATGTATGATTGCTAAAGTGAACTGGAGAAATGAACGTGTTTTTTTTTGGGGGGGGGCATCCCATCCCCAGAGGTGCTCAGGGAGAGTCATGAGTGGTGCTTTGGTTCGAACCTGGGTCAGCCACATGCAAGGCAAGCACCTTACCGTTGAACAATTTATCTGGCCCCTAATTTTCATGTCTTTTATTTGTTATAGCCTGTCTTTAAGGTGAGTATACTGTGCATATTTAGTATCTATATTTTTGTCAATAATTTAAATAAAATGAAAATATAGTTGAAGTATAAACAATAAAAACACGATGAAAATATAAATTAAAAATTAAAAGTCAAAATTGGAGAGAACAATGAAATAGATGCTATATATTTATTTACTCATTTGGATACTTATCTGATGGAAACATACTAGGTTCAAAAGAAATGCAAAATAATTCTATTCTTTCTAGTATGTATACTTCAAAATTTTCTAGATCCTTAAAATCTTTAATACATTGAGTTTATTTGAAATATTACCTACTTATTTGACTAAACATAAAATACCACAAATATGCGATTCAATTTCTAATAATCAAAGTAAGCTACATGAATAAACAGAAAAATACTGACCTTTCTCCAGAATAGTTCTGCAAACCTGAAAATTCCCAGAGAGTAAGAGCAAGAGCTCATTTTTTTTTTCTTACTGGAACTTGAAGCACTATATTCCACTTAGTAAATAAGTAAGACCCTTTTAACTTGAAGCACTATATTCCACTTAGTAAATAAGTAAGACCCTTTTCTTAAAATGTATTTTGAAGCAGCTTTTTTTAAAAGAGACATCCAGGAATACATATTATTGATATGATTTTATTTTTCAAAATTTAACTATTAAATCTCAACAAAATCATTTCAGTTTAATAGATGATGTTTTGATCCTCTTTGAGTTACTTTTGTCTATGGAGTTTATGGTGATTTTTTTTTCTTTTTGAATGTAGCTATCTAGTTCTCTCAAATCATTTGTTGAGGAGGCTTTCTTCACTGTATGATATTGTCTCCAATGTTGTAGGGTGTTTGCCTTGCGTACAGCCTGCCCGGCCAAGCCGGGTTCGATTCCTCCGCCCCTCTTGGAGAGCCCGGCAAGCTACCGATAGTATTTCGACCGCATGGCAAAGCCTGGCAAGCCACCCGTGACATATTCAATATGCCAAAAACAGTAACAACAAGTCTCATGATGGAGATGTTACTGGGCCCGCTCAAGCAAATCGATGAACAACGGGAGGACTATGACCGTGACTGTTGTAGATGAAATGTTTATACACGTGTGGGTTTATTTTGGGGCTCAGTATTTAATTCCACTGAATTTTTGTTTTGGCTGTTTGTTTGCTTAATACCATACTGTTTTTAATGCTATTTCTTTTTAATAAAGCTTGAAATCAGGGAGCATTATTTCCTCTACTTTCTCTCAAAATGCTTTGGCTACATGGTATCTTCTGTGGTTTCACTTAATTAGTGGAGAGCTTTTTTAATAATTCCTTGAAGAATCCTAGATAGGGATTATATTGAATCTATTAATTCCTTTAGTGAAGATAGCCATTTTAATATTTTTTATTTTTCCAGTGAACATAGGGTATATTTTTATTTCTTGTGACTTCTATATTTACATGTAATTGTTTTCAGTGTATAGATCTTTCACTTCTTTTTTTTTAGACTCACATTCAAGTATTTATCAATGATGTAACTGAAAATATAACTCTTATTTTTGTCAGTCATTATAGGGACCAGACCCATCAATTCTTCTTGTAGAATCACTTCTTTCAACATTTCTTGTAGAGTAGGTCTACTATTCGCTTCTGTCTGAAAAAGCCTTATCTTATTTGAATGATGTTGCTGCATATAATATTCTTGGCAGACTGTTCTTTGTTCTTTTTGAGTCTTCCAAGCAGTGTTTAGGGGTCCTGTCGACGACTTTCAGTGGAGTTGAGTGGAATGCCTGGCCCAGCTATTCCAAACATGGGCCCGCTGCTGCCATGGTGCTGGGGAGTGAACCCGGGGATTCTGCATTCAAAGCAAATATTCCAACTCTTTGAGCTATTGCCCCTCCTCCTGGCTGGCAGTTTATATCATTTCTTAAAGTGAATATCATTCTCCTGTAATTGACAGAGGTTTAGCTAGAAATTGTTTTGAGTTGTTGTTTGAGCTTTGGGGGCAATATTCAGTGGAACATGCAACCATGGATCAGTTTGGGATCAACCACATACCTGGCAAAGCAGTGCCTTAACTGCTGCACTATCTCTAACCTCTGCTGAAAATTCTGATGAAAGTCTAAAAGTGCTATCTTTGAATGTTACTCTTTTCTTTTCCATAGCAAGCTTCTACTTTAAAAAAAAATTACCTTAGATAATTTAGTAATGCTATATCATGGTTTAAATAGTTTATTTCTTAAAATGGAATATTCTGGGGTTCAGAGAGTAAGTACAAGGGTAAAGATGCTTGCCTTGAATATGGATGACCCAGTTCTATTGCTGGCACTTCGTGATCCTGTAGCACTGTCTGATCTGACCAAAACTCCCTCTTCCTTCTTTTTTTATTTTATTTTCTTTTGCTTTTTGGATCACACCCGGAGATGCACAGGGGTTACTCCTGGCTCATGCACTCAGGAATTACTCCTGGCAGTGCTTGGGGGGGACCATATGGGATGCTGGGAATTGGATCCAGGTCAGCCGCATGAAAGGCAAATGCCCTAACCACTGTGCTATCGCTCCAGCCCCTCTCTCTTCCTTTTTGGCCAAATCTCCCATTTTTCTGGGCTTCTATAGTTCTTTCCACAAGTTTACAAAGTTTCCTATGTTATTTCTTTGTGGTATCTACTCCTTTTTTCTCTCTTTACCTTCTGGAATTACCATGTTAACCCTTCTATTGTAGTCTAAAGATTGCTTAGATTTTCTTCATTTTTCCTGAACCTTATTTTTCTTTATTGCACTTGAGTTTTCATTCAATCACTGATATTCACTCTTCTATTAGACTGAGACTATACATTAGATTAAATTCCATTTATTTGGTTTTCATCCCCAAATTTTCTGGAAATTTTAACACGTTAAATTCTTCATTTATTAACACAACATGCCTATTTTTTTCTCTCTTGGATTTGATTCTATGTTGATATTCTCTAAATTTGTTAAGTTTTTTTTTTTTGTGTAGGATTATCTTAAATGTCTATTACTTCTTTCAATTCTGTGTCTTTACTTTTGCCTTCTGAAGATTTGGAAAAACAACTATTCTGATAATGGTTGCTTGTAGTTTTCCTGGTTAGTTAGTTGGTTTAGCTTCTTTTGTTTTTATTATGTATGTGATTGTCAGCTTTAATGTTGGAATGTTCTCCCTAATTTTGTATGGGAAAGAACCTCAGCTGGTCTGGTTGCTACTACTGTAAAACTCAAGGAAAAAGTTTTTGTTTTGGTTTTGTGCTACCAGCACAGTCTTTTATCCCAGTCAAGAGGTCATTAATTTTATGAAGTATTATTTCCCTCACCTAGTAGGGTCAGGTTAGCCAACGGCATCTTCTGAACAGTGCACTGTGGAGAGAGTACCATCATTGATTGATGGGTCTGCTCCAGTTCCATGCTATGGCTTTCCACATTAAGATACACAGTTGAATATGTATCTTAGGCAAACCAAGCTCACAAGTCCTTTTTTTTTGCGTATTATGACATTTCTAATGGTACTTTAGCTATCTACTTCATATGATCTGTAAGTTTTCTCTCCTTTCAAACACTCAATCACTCAGAAAAGTTTGAGAAGGGGTAGGGTTTTTTTTGTTTTGTTTTGTTTTTGGTGTGTTGGGTCACATCTGGTGTGCTTATGGGTTACTACTGGCTCTGTACTCAGGAATTATTCCTAGCAGTGCTTGAGTGACCATATGGGATGCCAGGGATCAAATCCAGATTGGGTGAATACAAGGTAAATACCCTACCCGCTGTGCTATCACTCTGGCCCCCTAGGGTAGTAATTCTTTAGGAGGTTGGTAGAGTTCACTAAGGAAACTATCCAGTTGTACCAATGCTTTTTATTTGGGAGAGTCATTAGATTACTGTTCCACTTTTCTTATTCATAGTTATTCCATTCAGATTTTCTATTAATTGCTGATGAAGTCTTGAGATGTATGCTTCTAAAAATATTCCCATTTCCATCTGTTCCTTACAGGTATTCATAAGACTCTTTATATCTGGATCCCCCCCCT